GTCAGTGGTTCAATTCTCAGCTACATCATGGTCAGTTGGTCTATTAAATGAACTATACGTATGCTTATTGTCGTCCTCAGTGCCGTGCAATGAATCGATCGTTGACAAACGTTCTCTTTGGAGGAATCGCTGCACCAGCAGAAGCAACCAAGAAGATGGAAGGAGTCGCCACCAAGGTATCCCTCATACCATTGTCTTTTGATGAAAGGCCACTGATGTGTAACGTTTACAGATATCCGTCGAGGAGACTGTTGATGCTTTGTTGGAGGCCGAGACTGTGATCATCACACCAGGTTACGGTCTTGCTGTTGCCAAAGCTCAATATGCAATTGCAGACATTGTGAAGGCTCTCGTTGCAAAAGGCGTCAAAGTCCGATTCGGAGTGGTAAGGTCTTAAGAGAGCATTTAAACTGCACTACTGATACCTTCCAACAGCACCCAGTCGCTGGACGTATGCCCGGACAGATCAACGTTCTCTTGGCTGAAGCTGGTGTGCCCTATGACAGTGAGCATTAACCTTCCTGCTATTGGTGTCGCTCTAATATGTGATTTAAGTTGTGCTCGAAATGGAGGAGATCAACGAGGATTTCACCGATACCGATGTCACTTTGGTAGGGTCTTGCACACTCAAAGGACGTTCGCTGACTTACATTACCTAGATCATTGGCGCCAATGATACTGTCAATCCCTCTAGTCTCGAACCCAACTCGCCTATCGCTGGCATGCCAGTGCTTCATGTTTGGAAGTCAAAGAATGTCATCGTAATGAAACGTTCGTTGGCCGGAGGTTATGCAGACAGTAAGTGTAAAGGAAAGGACAGTAACAGTAAGCTAACTTGGTTGTCTAATAGTTCCTAACCCGCTCTTCTACATGAAGAACACGAAGATGTTGCTAGGTGATGCAAGGGATATGTGCGAGGCATTGAAGCAAGGCATTGAAGCACGCAAGTAGATATAGACGGCTATTAAGGCTATCGAAGCTTGAGCTATGCTTAGTGACTTATTTAAATTGCTTAGGGTTCGTCGCGTGTCCTCCGTATGGATGTAACCATCGTCTTGTTATCCATTACTATCCACTACCATATAGTGATGACTCAGCTATAAATTTGAAATGAAGTGCAATATTCGTCCAAATGGCATCTATGACATTACTCGTCAGGTATATCGCCCACATCCTGTCCCTCCACCTTGGTTTGCGATACTGGAATAGGACCGGGCTGAGCTCCTTCCTCTTTCTTCTCTGATTTCACAGCGGTCTCGTGCTTTTCCTCCGAATATCCAGGCGAGAACAAATCAACAGGGGCACGACGTGTTTCTAGTAGGGCTACAGCATCCTCTAGGCCCCCTCCCTGTGTGTCTTCTTCAGCCTCAGCTTCAGGCTCCTCATGGGCCTCAGAGGATGTGTGAACATGCTCGTCTTCATGCTCGTCCTCGTGTCCCTCTTCGTACTCTTCTTCATGTCCTTCTTCATGTCCTTCTTCATGTCCTTCTTCATGCCCCTCTTCATGTTCTTCGTCTCCCTCTCCATGGCCCTCCTTATGGTCCTCTTCATAACCCTCTTCGAGTTCCTCCTCATGACTTTCAGCCGCAGCCACGTCTTCTTCCGAATGAAGCAGTTCCCCTTCGTGAAGATCATCATGTGCAGTCTCTTCTTCGGCGACATTCTCTTCTTCTACTCCATGATGCCCTGCATCTATAGCATCATCTATATCCTCCTTGGCCTCTTGAGCATCTTCGTGGGATTTCTCACTTTTAGGCGCTTCCTCATGCCCGTACATTTGCTCATGCTCCTGTGAGAGTATCTTTTCTTCATATCCATTTCCCTCTTCTGCCGACTTGTGCTCAGGCACCGCACTGTCTTGCTCGTGAGGGGCTTCCTCTGCGTGCTCGGGGGATACATTAGAAGCCTCAGCAACCGCGGGTTGTGATGGTGCTTCTATGTGCTGCGGAGCCTCCTTAGTTACTTCATCCGGTTTTTTGGCTCTCTTTAATGTGACTGTTTTAATAGGAGCTGCTGCTTTGCTTGGGCTGGACAAGGCTTTACCCTTAGCTGCGGTAGAAACACCACTTCTAGGAGCTGTAGTCGTTGATTTTGCCGCAGGTGCCTTTGATAGCGCCGCTGTCCTCGAAGTTGTCGAAGTGGAAGCAGGAGTTGTAGTAGCCTTCCTCGCCGTAGGTGTAGGTGTCGCAGCACCTCCTGTCGATCGTGGGAGTGGAGTCTTTCTGGCAGTTGAAGATGTGGCTGATGTAGAGCTTGTGGTAGTGGTTTTGGGAACAACTTTCTTGGCTGGTGATGTAGGCCCGGTAGTAGTACTACTAGTAGTCTTCTTTGTTCCAGAAGAGCTTGTAGTATTGGGAGTCTTGCTAGTAGCTGTCGGAGCGGGACCACCAGCGTCGGTATTTCGCGCCTTCGATGATGCTGTAGGAGCAAACAATCGACTGTTCGTGCTACCTGTAGTAGAGGAAGTTCCAGTAGTTTGGGTCTTAGGGGCTGTAGAAGTAGGTTGCGCTACAGATGGACGTGAAGTCTTTGCAGCTGCCGAGCCAGTAGCCCTGGAGAGAGTGGCTGGACGAGATACAGGAGGTGATTTGGTCGACTTGGGGGCAGAACTAGTGGCTTTGGTAGTAGTCCCTGGTCTGGTCTTAGAAGCACCAGTTCCTTGGGTTGTACCACTTGTCGGGACCGCCTTCCTCGTCGTTTTCGATGTATCCTCGGACTGCTCAGGCGCTGGAGGCTCCTTGCTGGTCGCCACGGACTCATTGGCGGCAACGTCAATGGGGGCTGGTTCAGTTACATCGTCTGAGGGTCTTTTCTCTTCTAAATCCTTTGGAGGTTCTTCTGTCTGATTGGGTGTCGCCTCCACTGGAGGTTCAGCCTGTACTTCCTCTGGGTCTTTGGGTGGCGAAGTAGCTTGTTTTAACATAGCTGCTCTCCAAGCTGGGACATCGGTTCCAGATGTACCTGGAAGGTCAGAGCCTCTTGCGAGAGGTGATCGCGCGGCACTCTGCGTGCTGAAAGCCGAAGTACTTTGGCCTGTATGTTGAGCTTGAAGAGGAAGTGCCGGGTTCACAGAAGGTAGCGATCCTTGACTTAATCTCTTGGAAGCATTACTTGAATTTGTAGCTGCAGTGCGTTTGGCCCCTTGCTCGAAACGCCCTATGAGATTCGCGACGGTCTGTCGCGGTCGTTCATCTGGAAGAGGCCTTTCGAAGATCCGTTAGCATTTCAATCGTCTTGATATTTATTATGGGATAAAATTGAAGGAAATACCGACATTAACAGCGGATCGTCGTGGCAGACTTTCGGTAACTTCAAAAGGAATCTACACAGCCACCTTGGGCCTGGATTAAATATCAAGAAGGCAGTTTTCTTTTGCACTCTTTAGGATATTTAAATGAATAAGTATTCATGTCACCGATAATACAATCATAATAGACGTTCTGCAAGTGAGTAGTTGCAATCATAGGATGATATCGACCACCAGACTGCATTTTGACCGACCCTGTATCGGATCGTAAATTACGGTTTGAGACTACGGGCATCGTATGCTATCCGGCCTAGGTGTTCCTGTTATAAAACTCCTTGAGTTGGTTCAGAGCAACCTGGAAGCATACATGTCAGGTAAAATCTTCAAACTAGTGGCACACCTACATGATAATACCCTTCCAGCGGCGCTAGCTCATCCTTTGCTAGCCTAAGTTTCTTGATCTTTTGGAAATGATTCGCTTCTTGCATCCATGTTTTAAAATGGTGCATCTAGTCGGATTGAGAGTTTAACTGGAGTATAGAACAGAATATCAGATCAGAACTCACTTCTTGCTTCTCAACGAGTGACCAAGCATCTCCTTCTCTGCCAGCCCGAGCGGTTCGGCCTACTCGGTGCACATATTTGCGTATATCGACGGGGATATCGTAGTTGACAACATGAGAAACATGTGGAATATCCATTCCTCGAGCAAAAAGGTCGGAACAGACAAGTCTAGAGTGTCATATTAAACATGAAATGAGAAAAGCCCAATCTGTACTCACATATCTATTTCCTTTCGCTTGAATCGTTCCAGAATACTCTTCCTCTGTGCAGGTGGCAAGTCACTGGAAAATGCTTCTGCTTTGAGCGGGGCTTTTGCTTCGCTTCCATCAGTAGAACCTCTGGACCGTTCTCGTTCAAAGTATTCCAACAAGCGCATTAGTCTTGATGTAGATTCTGTAGATTTGGTAAATACTAGCGCATTGCTAACATTTTTCTTGTGGGCAAGATGAAAGAGAAGTAAAGGCTTTGAACTTGGTTCGCAAACATAAATCCACTCCTTTTCCATTTTACCGTCGATCGCATGTCATCAAATATGAGCTAAATTCGATGAAGAATGAATGGGCATACCCGTAGAGTCGCCGGAGTCTCGAAGCTTTCCTCATATATTCCAACGTCCAAATCCACGTCCATGCCAGTCCCTGTATTCTGACCTATCCTTTCACGCACAATGAAGTATTTTGGTTTTCTAAGCTGGAGCTCTGCAATTTTGGCTGGATCTCTGGTTAATGTTGCGGAGAAGAGAAGCTTTTGGCACGAAGAGTGCGCCTCTTCGTCAATCTCGGATCCAAACGCAGGCATCCAGGACGGTGCTATTCCGTCAGGAATAGGCAAAGCATCAAACAGAGAATTCGTTTTGCTGCCATTTGGAGTGAATGAGACTGGCTGTGGAGGCGGTCGTAGAGCAGTAAGCACTTGCTTCAGCCACTCCTGGAACGAGGTTGTCAAAAGGCGATCTGCTTCGTCGACAACCTATACTGCAGTCAATTCAGTGTCTAACTCTCAAAATGAAAGATAAAGTACCAGAAATCTGAGGTGTTGAAGTGTAAAGTTGGGAGTTGCATTCAAGTGGTCAATCAACCGCCCAGGCGTGCAGACCAAGATGTCCACTTTACTTGATCCTCCTTGAAGACTAACATGAAGGAAATTGTTAGGGCTAGATCGATGCCACATTATGCGAAGTCATACGACTGGTCTGTATTGCCAACTATTTGCGCCTGTTCGTGGCTAAACGAATGCTGTCCCGTTGCACTTGCTACCTGTACATGCCGCAAACAACACACGTTAGAGTAAGATGCTGCTATAAAGGTGATTACATACCTGAAGCTTTGTGCCTTTGCAACACGCTTCAAAAGTCTCTCTTACTTGTTGCACCAAATCGCGAGTTGGTAGAATGACGAGAGCCCGCAGACGAGTAACAACCCTAGAAGATAGTATCTGTGTTGGTCGTGAAATCACGTGAGACTCTTGTGAGACCACGGAAATTAGAACCCAGATGGAGCACGGACCTCGACTATTGGGACGACATAGGCTAATGTCTTGCCGCTTCCGGTAGGTGCAGAAGCACAAACGTCTCTTGGC